ATGAATTGTATATGGATCAGTCATTAATATGTGCATGTATGTGTAAGTGTGTGGTAATTCAATTGTGATGAACGATTGAAAATATGCATGGATGTTAAGATTAGAGAATGGTCTTAATTGCATATGGTTTTTGTAATTGCACATACACCATTTATTGTCAAGAGGCATGCTTGTTAGTTCCGAGGGAGCTAGTGACTTTCTCCAAACCTAGAAAGGCGTTTGAAAGCTTAGAGGACAAAATTTTTGTGTGTTATTGGTCTAAAGAACGGACCCGGTTTAAAGTAAAAACCGAATAAAAATAACAGTAATTCGTACCACATACATGAATCAGCATTTGAGTCTTGCATTGAATCACATGGTGTTTTATGTCATAGTATGAATAATATGTTATTATGTGAAAATGATATAATTATGAAATTGTGAATTGTTGGTATATACTTGTAAACAATAAGATTAATTGGGTGATGTTATATTTATAAAATATATGAAGTGTGAGAATATTATTTTATGCATGTATGCTAAACGTTATATATTTTTGTATAATTCTTCATAATTATATGAATTCTTACCCTTCTGTTGGAATGATATTTTATATGATATCGTTCAGGTACTGAAGATTAGAGCTGCTTCTAGCGTGAGAGTAGCTGAAGGAGTTAGCTTGTTTTATTTTCGTATTTTTTTAGTTGAGTCACGCTCTGGTCATGTAACATTGGGGAAACATTTGGATTCATGTTTTTGGAGAGATATTTTATGTACTATATTCTATTTTGTTAATTTTAATTGAATTATATGGTGAAGTGGCTTTTATGCCTAAGTTGATTAAATGAATGAAGTTTATTTGAGACTTGAATATTATGAGATTCTTAATGAAAGTGATTCCGCTGCGACATGCTTATGTGAAGTGATATGAAAAGCATGAATTTTAATTAAGTGTTATTTGAGCATGACATGTATATGTGGTTTTGAATTATGTGTGACACTCTTTATTGAGATGCATGATTATATTACTATGATTTTTGACGTATTATTCCGTGGGGTTTTAGAGGGTCTTATAAGGTGCTCCATTGTGATAGTCACATTTGGCGTTGGGATAAAATCCCAAAGGATAAGGAGAAGGAACGTGATTGATGTGTTTGGGTTCCACCAAAGAAAGCTGGAGTAACTGAAGGAACAACTGACTATAAAACGCATAAATCGGGTCGTACACTCTTTTTCGCCTCTTGTGCATTTGCATACCCTGTTGCTGACGGTTCTGACGATAATTTTATTGCTACGACACATATTGTTGTTGTGGAGTATACTGAACTGGTTGAGCATGCAGAATCGACTTCTGTTGAACATATTGAACTGCTGGTTGGCTGATAGTTGCATCACAAATTTGTGGAGCATATTGATTTGGAGTAGCGGCTTCCACCTGATAATAAGGGACCTGAACTTGAGTATAAGCAGGAGCTTCCTCTTTGTCCTCAGAAACTCGAAAACTACACTTGTTTCTTAGTCCTCCTTCTTTGGGAATCCGGAAGTAGAAGCGGCATCCTGGATCTTACCAATCTTGAGATCATTCTCAATTCATTCTCCTATGACAATCAAATCTGAAAGTTTAGAGAAAGTGCTTACAACCATACTATCCAGATATGGACCTTGTAGAGTATCTATGAACATGTCCACAAGTTCTCGTTCCAAAAGGGAGGTTGAACTCTGGCAGCTAGTTCTCTCCATCTTTGTGCATACTCTTTGAAAGACTCGTCAGCCTTATGAGTCAAGCTTTGGAGCTGGATTCTGGTAGGAACTATGTCACTGTTATACCTATATTTCTTGAGAAAGGCCTTTTCTAGTTCTCTCCAGGTTTGGACGTGAGTCTTTTTGAGTTGTGTGTACCATTCAAGAGATGCCCCCACTGAGGCTATCCTGAAATGAGTGTATCACTAGCTTGAAAATTTCCGCATAAGGAGCCATATTATTGCAGTATGCCTTGATGTGAGTAATTGGTTAAGTGGTTCCCTTGTACTTCTCGAAGCTGGGGACTTTGAACTTGGCAAGAATCTTGATACCAAGAACTAAGCATAAATCAACAACGTCTAAACCGAAGAAGCTATGACCTTGTATAGCCTTCATCCTCTCTTTCAGAAGGCAGAACTTTTTCCCAATCTCATCAATCGGGAACCTGAAGGTATCAAATAATGGATCAGAATGGTTCTCAAGGCGTGGAACTCCATTGGTATGAGTCTAAATAGTATTTCTAACATTCTGATTCAAAAGAACCTTGTCGCTACATGAAAAATACACAAACAGAGCCACCATTGAAATTTATTTATCCCAAAGAGGGAAAGGAAAATATCAAGAAAACTCAAAGAAGGGATGAACATGGTCTCACGACCAAGATACGGTCCAAAAGTCGATTACGCGAGGAAAATGTATTAGCACCCCTCACGTCCATTGTACCCAACATGATCATCTCTTGTTATTCTAATCAAAGGGTGTACATATCTAAAGACTTACTTGCTAAAGGAATGCATGAATGAATTGATTAAAGAAAAAAAAGCTTTTTATTATTGAGTTCGTCCAAGTTTATTATCTCAATGCCTACGTATTCCTATAGTGCAATGAAGAAATCAGAACTCTGTAGTTCTTCTCAAAAATATTTGTTTGTTGGATGTTTTTTATGAACTATGTCAAATTCATATTCTAACAGTTAACATTGCCGTCCGACCTTTGGAGACTCACGTGTTATTGTATTGTGTAGAATGAAATTAACATGTCTTTTTTGAAAAGGTTTTAAAAGGAAAAGCCCTAAGGGCGGAAAAATGTTTGAATTTGTTGGAGTGTTTTGTTAGGGGAGAATAATAAGTGGTCCCCCATCTGGGAAAACTTAGCTACTTTTACACCTTTAGTTTTGAAAATTATTTGAATTTTGCTAAGTGTTTTTGAATTTGATTAAGAAAAGAAGTTTTTGATTTTTAAAAGAAAAGAAATTGCTATACAAAAGGAAAAAGCAAAAGGAGACTCTAACCCTAATATTATCATGTCAAGATGGACTTAAAGTTGAGTTTGAAATGGAATTTTAACCTAATGGTGTTATCATGCTTAGGTGGATCCTACCGTCTATATCTTGATTTAATTTAATCAAATCAAAGACTTTTAATTAATTTGAATCAAAATCTTCTAAGAGAGCATGTTAAGAATCAATCACACAATCAATAAAAGAAAATAATATCTAATATTTTTATGATATTTCATGTAAGGAATATTAAAAATCAAAATAAAATAAATCTATTATAATATTGTTTATGATTATCAAGTAAAAAAATCTAATATCAAAAAGAAATTAAAACTTTAAGTCTAATTTTATGATTGAAGTATAAAAGATAATAGCAACAAATCATATATTGATAAAAACAACTTTTGATAATATCTTTAATTGTTGACAAAACTTATTTTTTTCGTAGCGACCATGGTCATTGTTTTCTATAAAATAAAGCAATCCAAATTATTGTTATTAAAACATTTGTTATGATAATAACTAGTGATGAAAAAAAAAACATACTTATGGATTTTCATATTTATGGATAAAACCCGGTACGAATTAGATAGTTTAACTGATATTCACAAGAAATTTAATCGGATATTCAATTATTCATTTTTTTAAGAATATAAATACAATTTTTTTGATAAAAGATAGTATGTATTAAAAGAAGATTGATAGATAAAAATATGGGGATATTAGAGCCAAAACACACTCAAAAATATCTAAATTTAAAAAAAAGACAAATCTAACTTATTTTTTACATAATCACTTCTAATATCTAAAAGGTAAAGAATAAAAAAGAATAAGAAAAATTGAGGTACGATCCATATTAGCAAAAATGATGCACAATTATTCCTTCCTGCAAATACGGATATAAATTTGATTGTACTCGTATCCGTGACACGAGTATCTGTGTCGGTTAATAATCAGTAAAATTACTTAAATATTAATTTGTTTAAATTAAAATTAAAATTATTATTATTATTATTATTATTATTATTATTTTATTGAATATGAAATTATTATTATTTTGTTGAATCTAATATAATTATTTGATAAAAAAAGAAATAAAATGAATGACGATTTATTTTTGTTATTATTATTACGTGTTAAATTTAAAATTAATTTTATTATTAAATTTAATATAATTATTTGATAAAAAAAGAAATAAAATAAATATGATTTATTATTATTATTATTATTATTATTATTATTATTATTATTATTATTATTATTATTATTATTATTATTATATTTTAAATTTGAAATTATAATTTTTTCTTTAACAGTGATAAAAAAAATTTAATTAATTTTAGTTTTTAAAAAAACTATTTAATAATATTTACGAATATCTATTAAATATTTTTTGATATTTTAAAATCCACAAATAATATCGGAGAGATACTCGCATGAATATAAGAATATATATATATATATATATATATATATATATATATATATATATATATATATATATATATATATATATATATATATATATATATATATATATATATATATATATATATATATATATATATATATATATATATATATATATTAAATGAGGCGGATATTGAAAGACTATTATTCGTATAGATGAATAATCGTTATAATCCCTAACAACGACATCAAATATTATTATAACTTTTTTTGCAATATTATTAATACCAACGACATGCAACATTTTTTTCTGCAAAAAATACATTTAGGAACATATTCTTTTCAACAAATTTTGTCTTGTTGCAAAAACGTGCAACTCGTTTTTTTGTTTGTGTGTGTAAAAGATAGAGATACGCGTGAATGCATACATACACACATGAAACCATGCGTCATCGACATGTATTTAAGACACTCGTGAGTGAGACCATAACGTTGTTTATGGTAAACCTGGAAGCAGTTGAATTCTGAATCAATAGCATTGAATGATAGCCACCAAACTAATTTCCACTTGCTACCATACTAAATTAAGTATATGTTGGAATCGTGCATCTTTGATCAAACATTGAAACATATTGAGAGTTGTGATATTAAAAGCCCTATTGCTTTTTCCTCTCTCCTGTGTGGTGTAATCATTGATCAGTATTCTGATATCCTGATTGAAAAGGACTTTATGTGTAAAAGAGCCCCTGCACTTGGTTTTCACTATAAGCTGTTTCAGGGAACACATGTCCCTGACATTGTTATGACATCTGCTGAGACATCAAATGTAAAAGCTCATTCCAAGAAAGCTGATGTTATAGTTGTTCTAAAAGAAACCCGCAAAGAGCTTGATGCAAGAAAAAGGACTCTTGAAGAGCTGATTGCTAGTCTGGAACAGGAGGAGAATGAAGAACAAATGAGGGAAGAGGATGCTGACGAAGAACAGCATGATGGTTCTGCAAGAAGCTCACCAGAAGATGCTGTTGAAAATAGTGCTTCCTCAGGGGATGACAGTACCTGAAGGTCTGTGTTTGCTGAGTTGAAAAGATTGATGCTGGAACTTGTTGCTGCTATTTGATACCTTCTCTCTATCTCTGTGTATTTTGGATTTCCTTTTGATGACTGTATAACTTGAAGTACTAGTACCTTTGGCCTCTGTATGGCTTAAAAAGGGGGAGAAGAAATTGTGGTAATTTTGGTAGAATTAGATATTGGTAGTTAGATTAGCTGTTATTAAAAATTCGGCTGCATTCTAATCTCTGATTGTTTAGGGGTTTTAGCCAAAAATTTGCCAAATGGGGAGTTTGTAAGTGTTTGTTTGTTGGCATTAATTTTTGGTAAAACCAGATTTGCAAATGTCATGACTGATGTCATAACATTCTGGGATAAAGGTAAATTCTGTAGAAGGAATGTTCTACAGGAACAACTCAGTATGAGTGAATATTATGATGATTAAGCTATGATCATATGTACTGAATTCTACCAAAATCAGTGAGCAGGATACATGATGTCATAACCAATGTTAAGACATCCTGTACTGATCAAGTTCTTGTGCAGATTTATTGTTCCTGAGAATTTTCAGGAATCTGGTGTGCTCTCTGAGTTGAAGTATATTGTCCAGATCAGATGCTCACGTGGATATTAGGTTAACCTTGCTTAACCCTAATCTGTTATGATGAAAACTCAAGACCAAGTTTTTAGGTTAACTTTGGTTAACCCTATCTATTTTTATGGAAGCCCTAAATGAAGAATATACTGCATATATATTTCTCATGAATCCTAATGGTGAGCAGTGCTTTTGACAGAAGATCAATAAGGCATTGTATAGTTGTAATAGTTTTAGTAACTACTGTGAGCCAAGCAATTATCATTTTGATAAGTGACTTGGAGTAGGATTTGGTTGTAAGGGTTGTTTATCACTCAAAGCTTTGAAGCACGGGTGTTGTGTCTCTTGATTAAAGCTTTGAAGCAAAATCAAGCGTGTGTATTGAAGAATGTCTTCATAATCTTATTAATCAGTAGATTAGTATCAATGCTGTGATTGAGGGGGAGTGAGTAGGAACTCAGGTTTAAGTAGGACTTAGATTGAAATTGCATTGGGTAGGTCTTAAGTGAAGGAGATAAACTGGTTGGTTTATTCCTAAATTAATACCTCTTATAGTGAATTTCCTCCCTGGCTTGGTAGCCCCCAGATGTAGGTGTTGTTATACACTGAACTGGGTTAACAATTGATTGTGTTCTTTACTGTCTTTTAGATTACTGTTTGATTGGTGTACAATTTGTCAGATACGGTGTCATAACATTCACTGTGACATTAAGTATTTGTTGCCAGAATTTCACATACTATCCAGATAGGGACCTTGTAGAGTATCTATGAACATGTCCACAATTTCTCGTTCCAAAAGGGGAGGTTGAACTCTGGCAGCTAGTTCTCTCCATCTTTGTGCATACTCTTTGAAAAACTCGTCAGCCTTATGAGTCAAGCTTTGGAGCTGGATTCTGGTAGGAACCATGTCACTGTTATACCTATATTGCTCGAGAAAGGCTTTTTCTAGTTCTCTCCAGGTTTGGACGTAAGTCTTTTTGAGTTGTGTGTACCACTCAAGAGATGCCCCTACTGAGGCTATCCTGAAATGAGTGCATTACTAGCCTGAAATTTTCCGCATAAGGAGCCATATTATTGTAGTATGCCTTGATGTGAGTCATTGGACAAGTGGTTCCCTTGTACTTCTCGAAGCTGGGGACTTTGAACTTGGCAAGGATCTTGATACCAGGTACTAAGCATAAATCAACAACGTCTAAACTGAAGAAGTTATGACCTTCTATAGCCTTCAACCTCTCTTCCAGGATGCAGAACTTTTTCCCAGTCTCATCAATCGGGAACCTGAAGGTGTCAAATGATGGATCAGAATGGTTCTCAAGGCGTGGGACTCCATCGGTAGGAGTCTGAATAGTATTTCTGACATTCTGATTCAAAAGAACATTGTCGCTACGCGAAAAATACACACAAATAGAGCCACCATTGAAATTTATTTATCCCAACGAGGGAAAGGAAAATATCAAGAAAACTCAAAGAAGGGATGAACATGGTCTCACGACCAAGATATGGGTCCAAAAGTCAATTACGCAAGGGAAATGTATTAGCACCCCTCACATCTGTTGTACCCAACATGATCATCTCTTGTTGTTCTAATCAAAGGGTGTACATATCTAAAGACTTACTTGCTAAGGGAATGCATGAATGAATTGATTAAAGAAAAACAAAAGCTTTTTATTATTGAGTTCGTTCGAGTTTATCATCTCAGTGCCTACGTATCCCTATAGTGCAATGAAGAAATCAGAACCCTGTAGTTCTTCTCAAAAATATTTGTTTGTTGGATGTTTTTTATGAACTATGTCAAATTCACATTCTAACAGTTAACATTGTCGCCCGATCTTTGGAGACTCACGCGTTGTTGTATTGTGTAGAATGAAATTAACATGTCCTTTTTGAAAACGTTTTAAAAGGAAAAGTCCTAAGGGCGACAAAAAGTTTGAATTTGTTGGAGTGTTTTGTTAGGGGAGAATAACAAGTGGTCCCCCATCCAGAGAAACTTAGATACTTTCACACTTTTAGTTTTGAAAATTGTTTGAATTTTGCTAAGTGTTTTTGAATTTGATTAAGAAAAGAAATTTTTTATTTTTAAAAGAAAAGAAATTGCTATACAAAAGGAAAAAGCAAAAGGACACTCTAACTCTAGTATTATCATGTCAAGATGGACTTAAAGTTGAGTTTGAAATAGAATTTTAACTAAATGGTGTTATCATGCTTAGGTGGATCCTATAGTCTATATGTTGATTCAATTTAATCAAGTCAAAGACTTTTAATTAATTTGAATCAAAATCTTTTAAGAGAACATGTTAAGAATCAACCACACAATCAATAAAAGAAAATAGTATCTAATATTTTTCTGATATTTCATGTAAGGAATAAAATCAAAATGAATTAAATCTATTATAATATTGTTTATGATTATCAAGTAAAAAAATCTAATATCAAAAGGAAATTAAAACTGTAAGTCTAATTTTATGATTGAAGTATAAAAAATATAGCAACAAATCATATATTGATAAAAATAACTTTTGATAATATCTTTAATTGTTGACAAAACGTATTTCTTTTTGTAGCGACCATGGTCATTGTTTTCTATAAAATAAAGCAATCCAAATTATTGTTATTAAAACATTTGTTATGATAATAACTAGTGATAAAAAAAAAAAAACATCCTTATGGATTTTCATATTTATGGATAAAACCCGGTACGAATTAGATAGTTTAACTGATATTCACAAGGAATTTAATCGGATATTCAATTATTCATTTTTTTAATAATATAAATATAATTTTTTTTGATAAAAGATAGTATGTATTAAAAGAAGATTGATAGATAAAAATGTGGGGATTAGAGCCAAAACCCACTCAAAAATATCTAAATTTAAAAAAAAAGACAAATCTAATTTATTTTTTTACATAATCACTTCTAATATCTAAAAGGTAAAGAATAAAAAAGAATAAGAAAAATCGAGGTACGATCCATATTAGCAAAAATGATGCACAATTATTCCTTCCCGCAAATACAGATATAAATTTGATTGTACTCGTATCCGCGACACGAGTATCTGTGTCGGTTAATAATCAGTAAAATTACTTAAATATTAATTTGTTTAAATTAAAATTAAAATTATTATTATTATTATTATTATTATTATTATTATTACTATTATTATTATTATTTTATTGAATATGAAATTATTATTATTTTGTTGAATCTAATATAATTATTTGATAAAAGAAGAAATAAAATGAATGACGATTTATTTTTGTTATTATTATTACGTATTAAATTTAAAATTAATTTTATTATTAAATTTAATATAATTATTTGATAAAAAAAGAAATAAAATAAATGTAATTTATTATTATTATTATTATTATTATTATTATTATATTTTAAATTTGAAATTATAATTTTTTCTTTAACAGTGATAAAAAAGATTTTAATTAATTTTAGTTTTTAAAAAAATATTTAATAATATTTACGAATATCTATTAAATATTTTTTGATATTTTAAAATCCACAAATGATATCCGACAGATACTCGCATGAATATAAGAATATATATATTAAATGAGGCGGACATTGAAAGACTATTATTCGTATAGATGAATAATCGTTATAATCCCTAACAACGACATCAAATATTATTATAACTTTTTTTTGCAATATTATTAATACCAACGACATGCAACATTTTTTTCACTGCAAAAAATACATTTAGGAGCATATTCTTTTCAACAAATTTTGTCTTGTTGCAAAAACGTGCAACTCGTTTTTTTGTTTGTGTGTGTAAAAGATAGAGATACGCGTGAATGCATACATACACACATGAAACCATGCGTCGTCGACATGTATTTAAGACACTCGTGAGTGAGACCATAACGTTGTTTATGGTAAACCTGGAAGGAGTTGAATTCTGAATCAATAGCATTGAATGATAGCACCAAACTAATTTCCACTTGCTACCTACTAAATTAAGTTGGTGTGAAAGTATATGTTGGAACAGTGCATATTATTCATTTACTTCCGTTTGTTTTTGTTTTTTATTTTAAAGATTTTTATAATATTATATATATTTGTGTAAAAAAAATTTTAAATTGTTCTTTTCATACAAATTTCAAATGAAAATTTGATTTAAATAATTATTTTTAAAATATTATCTTAAATATTTTATTTTTTTATTAAAACTTTTTTAAATATTAAAAATTTTAAAAATTATTAAATTTTGACTCTATTTCAAATAGATTTTCATAAAAATCAATTTTTAAATATAAATTTTTGAAAATATTACGATTTTGACTATATTTTTTAGTCTACAATAATATATGTTATGTTTTAGAATGCCAAAATTATTATTTCAATTTAGAAAAAACAAATACAAAAAACTTGTAATATTTTTAAAAAACAATTTTGTAAAATTTAA